TGGGGGTAGATCGTTCCACAGGGCCGGAGCAGCTACAGAGAAGGCCCTCCCCCGAGGAGTCGCTAGCCGGCATTGTTCGGTCGACGGCACCCAGAGAAGGCCCATCCTGTGAGATCTTATCGGCCATTGGGAGGTATGTGGCAGAAGGCGGTCTCGCAGATATCCGGGTCCTATATTTCAGAAGATGAAGAATCTTTAAAAATAGATTCAGAATCTTTTGTGGAATGAATCTCGTTTCTCTTTTATAATAGTTGCTAACAAAAACAGAATCATATCCTATATATGGTGGATTTGACTGGAGCTTTCTATTTAAAGAATGTATGTAAACCTCACAGTACATCGAGGCATTGGAAAATAAACAAAATTCAGTTGGCAAGCTACCACAGCTCAAAAAGGGGATTATAATATAATGTAGGAGATTCCTGACAAGATTAATACAGCAATGTACCAGAGGAACAAGGACTGGCCCCAAAAGAGTGATGGCTAGACAGTTTCGGAGCCCCTATGGGAAGTAATGAGGTCCTTCTGAGGTTGTAGTATCTCTTCTCATAATTATTCTTTTCATGTTGTGCAAAAGAGCGTATGAGTAGCTGCAGGGATCACTCTTACATTAGTCAATATGCATTTATTTTATTTACTAATTCAACTTGTATCTTGTCTTTCTACTTAAGTGAATGCTTAAAGATGTCTCTTTGAAGAACAGAAACTTGGATTTCCCCATAGTTAAAGAAACTTGTCTGGTCACATATTATAGGAGTTGAAGAGCTAAAACAAAGACCCACAAAAGATCTTATCTGTAGAATGAAAGCTACACACTCACTTTCAGCTTAGGCAGTTTTCCAAAACCAGGATTGGGTGGTTTCTGAATCACAAATGAAAAGAAAAACAAAAAGAGAGGTGTTTTTAAAAAAAAAACTGCAGACTGTCACAGCTCAAGAAACCCTTGTTTGTCTTTGTGGTAGAATCAGCGAGAGACTTTTCTTTTGCTTCAAAGAACAGTAAAGAGAACATTCTTCTGTAGACATATTGATGAAGATCACCAAAGTGCTATCCCGAAAGGAGAGGTGACTCAAGTTTCATGAGCCCCTGAATTAAAATTGGAAGTTGGGAAAGCTTCTCTATCCTGATTCCCCACATTTCATGTCAGGTCATCTAAACTCCAAATAACTTCCTCCCTTCGCTAAAGAAGAAAAATCGCTGAGATGCATTAAAATTAAGACATTAGTTTGTTTTCCCTTAAAATATCCATCTTGTTTTGTCACCATTAATATGTCTACCCAAGGGAATCTTCCAATTAAAGCACTCTCTCCAGCTGACTTCTTCCAAGTGTATCTTACTGATCCAGCCACCTGATATTAGTAATACAGGTAATCATTAACTTAAAACAGTTTGTTTAGTGACTATTTGAAGTTACCACACTGAAAAAAAAAGTGACTTATGACCGTTTTTCACACCTACAATCATTGTCACATGGTCACCTGATCAAAATTCAGGCATTTGGCAACTGAATCATGATGGTTGAAGTGTGATTTCCTTTTGCAACCTTCTGACAAGCAAGTCAACGGAGAAGGCAGATTCACTCAAGATTCATGTTACTAACTTAACAACTGTGGTGATTCACTTAACAACTTTGGCAAGAAAGGTTGTCAAATGGAGCAAAATTAACAATAGAAATCAGCAACAGAAATTTTGGGTTCCAGTGTGGTTATAAGATAAGGACTACCTGTATTGGCTGAAGAATTACAAATTCATGACTTCTAAAAGACATCAGTGGGCAAAAACTAATAAAATGTACTGGGAAATCCTTATTCCTTAGGGCTTCTGGCATTTAGATCTTATTTACTAAAGATTGCGTAGTTCTAATTTTTAATTAGAGTATGCATTTCAGAAATAAATATAATCTTGAACCACATTTAAATGCATTTATTTTTCTCTCCTTCTTATGGAGAAAAAACCACCCCTCAGGGACTGGTTTGGTCTTGGGTTCTGTGGTGTTTTGGCATGCTTTTTGAAGCTTGTAATGTGAGCACTATTTGATGCTAATAATTACTTAACAGTGTGATTTGCATTGCTCAGTTCTCCCTATAGCAAAATGCAAAACGAAGCTTCTCGCATCCGACCAACCTGTTTTTATTTCAGGAGACTATGGAATTCCTCGGTCTTGGAATTTCCCTTTGCAACGATCTTATTGGTTTGGGTTAGGACACCCAGAGACCCAGCAAATAACAACTGGCGATGGTGAGTTATGCGGAAAACTGATGTTCGGAAATATTTTGTGGCATTGACTCATTAAGAAGTGAACCCACACTTGCCTTCATTTCCAGAAGTCATACAAAAGTTTTGGGGCACAGACATGTAGTGGGAATATTGGCAAGTGGCTTTGAACGAGTGGCCGGATACCAGGGGTGGGTAAAATGAAGACCCAGATTGTTGTTGGGGGTGATATGCTGACTCTGTAAACCGCTTAGAGAG